TCCAACATGTCTGCCCTTTGGTTTCTTCACATCTCTCCTTTATTTATTTTATTTATTTATGGTTTTTGGAGTTTTCATATAAAAGAAACCATGTGATATGGAACTTTCTGTGTCTGACTTACTCCACTTGACATTATGGTCTCAAGTTCCACCCATTTTCCTACAAATGACATGATTTCATTTATTTCATGGATGAAATTATATCCATTCATCTATTGGTGGGCATCTAGGATGTTTCCAGGGCTTAGCTCTTATGAGTTGCACTGTTATAAACATTGCTATGCATGGACCACTATAGTATGATGTCTGTAAGTTTTGGGGGAAGATACCCAGGAGAGATATAGCTGCATCCAGTAGAATTTCTATTTTTAATTTTTTGAGGAATCTCCACACTGGTTTCCATAGTGGCTCTACTAGTCTACATTCTCACTGGCAATGAAGATGATTTCCCTTGTCCCTATATCTTTGCTGGCATGTGTTGTTTTTTGTATTCTTGATGACAACCACTCTGGCTGGAATAAGGTGGGATTTCAGAGTTGTTTTGATTTGCCTTTCCCTAATAGCCAAATATATTGGACACTTTAAAAGTATTTTTTATTGGTATGTTTTACAATACAGTTACATTCATCATTGGGATCTTGTACTTTTACATGATATATCTTGGCTCCTATTTTTTTCCCATTCCCCTGGCCTCCCTTCATGCCTTCCACTCTTCATTTACAGACTTTGTTTCCATTTTTAAATTTTTCTCTCATTTTTTTCTTGTCCCTTCTTACCTTTCCTCTACCCTTCCCACTTCCACTACACCTTTAGACCTTTTCTTCCTATTACACTATACCAATTATATATTTTTAACATACTTATCGTGCATTTGTACTTCTATTTTGGGGGAGGGTTTCAGGGATCAAACTCGGGACCTTGCGCTTGTGAGGCAGGTGACAGAGCCATTGAGTTAAATCCCCAGCACTTGTACTTCAATGAAGAACTATCTATTCAATTCAATGGCCAAATTTGGAGCCATTTTTAGGGGTTATTTTGAAGTCTATATATTCTAGGTACTAGTTCTTTCTCTGAAGTGTGGCTGGCAATTTTTTCCCATTCAGTAGGTGATCTTCTCACTTTGTTGATTGTTTCCTTTGCTATTCAGAAGCTTTTTAATTTGATGTAATCAAGTTTGTTGATTCTTGATATTATTTCCTGTGCTATTGGAATTCTGTTCAGGAAGTCTTTCCCTGTGGCCATGGCTTCAAGTGTTTCTTCTATATTATCCTCCAGCAGTTGCAATGTTTCTGTTTCTATATATCTAAGTATTTGGTCCATTTTGATTTGACTTTAGTACAGGGTGAGAGATATGAATTAAGTTTCAATCTTCTGCACCTGGATAGCCAGTTTTCCCAGCATCACTGGTTAAAGAGCTGTCTTTCCTCCACTGTAAGTTCTTGTTTTGGGAGAACATGTTGGCTTCTTTGACCTGGAATGGAGCTCAAAGGTGGTCCAGGGGTTGATTGTGATATCAATGGAAAATTCCTGGGTAGAGATTTTCTCTTCTTGTGACATTAGCAGGCATTTCCAGAAGGTGGATGGGTATTTGTGTTTTACAAGTGAGTGGGTGGTAGCCCATGGATATTGAGGCACAGCTTGTAGGAGGCACAGGTGGGGCCTGTGGGTGGTGGTGGTGCTTGGTGCATGGCCCCTGATGTAGGGTTATGACAACAATGAGGGCATTTGGTGACCTGAAGTAGTCACAATGCAGGAGTCCATAGGAGCCATACAGGACCCTGAAGCCATCTCTGTGGTTGACAGACTTTGGTGCCCTCTCCAGCCTCTCCAGGAGAAAAATGAGACCCCCTTATACCTTCTAGAACTCTGAACAGGTGACTGTGAAGGCATAAAAATGACAAGAGAGCTAAAGTCACAAAGATGCCATCCTCCTAGAGTTTCCCTAGCCAAGGCTGGACATTGCCACATGGCCCTGCAGGAGGAAGTGGAGCAGAGTGGCACTGGGCACCCTGGTATCCATGCTGTGGCTTCTGTGTCTACTTTCTCAGCTCAGCATGACTGCCCAGAGCCCTTCTAGACCTGCCTGATGTGGGCACAGCTCTCCTGTCTGCTCTGATGCAGATTCTCTCAAGGGTCAGGCGTGCACACCTGTCTGAGATGACAAAAGTGAAAGACATTTCTTTGTGACACAGGCAGTCTCAATCAAGAGCTTGGTGAGTGGTGTTGCTCCAGCTGTGGTTCTTATCCTGAGCAGCACTGTAGGTCAGACTGTGCTATACAGAACTTCAGGATGAAGGGTTTCTCTAGAAGACTTCATAGCCTAAGCCTTGAGACTTTCTTTCTCAACACTGGAAAAGGTCTTCAATTACCAGAGGAATAAATGGATGAAGTACAAAATCACAGTGAGAGAACAGGCAGGAAGCCTTCCCCAAGCCACATATGATCACAGAGTGGATCAGAATCTACTGGCTACTCGCTTCCAAAGTGAAACATAGTCTCAGCTCTTATGCCTGGAGCCTCTGATCTCAGAGTCCAGCTGAGCACCCAAGGTAGATCTGGCCCACATCGTTCCAAACTCCTGTTCCTTGTTTTTGCTGAAGCACTCGTGATATAATCTGACCTTTTCTGTTACTTGGAAACCACTTCTGATTTTATGGAAACAATGAGTAATAATCCAATTTGGGATTTGACCTTTGACTCAAATTATCCATCAGTCAACTGGACATTTGTTCCTTGATTAAGGATATCATCTTAGGTTCAGTAACAGTTTGTACTGATTTTATTTATTTTATTTTTTATGTATTTTTTTTTTGGTACCAGGGATCGAACTTGGGTCCTTGCGCTTATGAGGCAGGTGGTGGAACCACTGAGCTAAATCCCCAGCCTCTACTGATTTTAAACAGTATGTTTAATGTTAAAAATAGCGACTCTATCAAGTTTTTCTCTCTTGGCCTAAAATTAGTGTCTGCTGAGAGGCAGGCATCTCTTTAATGAACTATGATGGTCACATTTTAAGAAACTGAAACTTTCCTCCATGGACACAGAAAGACAGGGGCTAGAAGAACCAAAGAGGCCAGAAATTGAGACAGGGCCAGAAGCTCCACTCTTTTGAACAACTTGGTGAATATTGGACATTATTACAGGTCCCTGGTGCGTGATGGTTTTCAGTTTTGCAAAGTTCCCCTTGGCTAGAGAATGGAGGTTCTGAGGAAAGATGTTAAATCCAGAATCAGAGAGAAGATGGGAGATGTAGCAGTCAGAATCCCAGGATAAACCCAACAGGAACCCTGGGGGTGGGGGGGGATGATAGAGGCCCGGGAAACAACATGTAGGGTTCTGCACAGAAGGCCCCAGATCTGGTCTGGAGAAGGTTGAGGAAAGTGTGACCAGAAGTGAAGGTGGGAGGAGCAGGAGAACTGGAGCTGCTCAGGTTCTGAGGAACCAGGAGAGTGACCATCAGAGACCCAAGGCAGGGTAGTGTCAGAGAGCTCTGGCACCTAGCGTGCCTGGTGAGGGGGTGCTGATGCTGTTATTGGAACTAGAAACACTTCCTGTGCCAGGGACTTCCTGAACATTGTTTATATTGTTCTCAGCAAGGAATGAAGTGTTACTTTCTTTGTTTCATAAATGAGGAAACTGAAGTTTCAATAAATTAATTAACTTGAGTCAACAGCTGGAGAGTAAATGTACAAATCCATTTCTAAGGGTGTTGACAGCTTGCCTTTCTGGTGATGATGGTGCAGAATGGCATGGCTAATATTCTTAAAGGAAAAAATGAGGGTCCTGTGACAATCCCAAGAGGAGGGACCATGTTAGCCTCCCAAGGATGTGGCAAAGGCCGATGCAGACTTGCTGCTTTAGTGAAATAGGCCCAGGGCCCACCCTAAGGCAAAGGCCAACCCTAAGCCTTTCTGAGTGTAGATTCTTCCTTGGAGCCAATCTCTCTCAGCCCACACCCACGGCTCAGGCCTGGGTGTCCCAGGATAAGGTGAGCAGGGATGTCAGCCAGTCCCAGGAAATTTAGGAGAACAGCAACATGATGCTTGGTTTCTGTGGTGATGTGACATGGAGAGGCTGATTCACAGATGGCTCACAGATGTGCTTCCCCACAGTTTCCTGTGTCCTGGGTCACCTCCCACAGTGCCGTAGGCACCCCAGGACCCCGTCCAATCTCCCCTACAACCTCACGCTCTGTAGTGTCCTCTCGAACCTGTATGTTGGGCTTCAATGTCCCAGGCTGCCACCTTTCACACATCTGGAGGGCTGCTCCCTCCCCAGTGGTAGAGTAAAGGCAAGCAGCTTGAGCCAAGTTAGCTGAGGCATAGCCTGAGCCTTAAGGGAACTGAAAGGTCTCCCTGGGACCCCCAACTCCAGGTCATCATAATGAGTACTTATAGGGGTTCAAACCGCTTTGTTGTCCATTCCTGCACACAATAGTGTCTCTGATGCCCCCTTTCAAGCAGGGGTCTGCTGTCTTACCCCAGTGATGCTCCAGGCTGGGTGGGGTCTGTAGGCTTTTATAAGCTGTACCAAAAGCTCATGTGTCACAACCACTGCATTCTGCTCGTTCAACAGCTGTCATGAAGCTTAGAGTGAAGGACAGAGCAGAGGCTGTCACCAGGTTCTTCAGGGGACAGAGAGGACCCTGCCTCAGAGCAGGGAGTGTCATCTGATTCTGAATGGCTGAGTTGTGGCCCACATAGAGACAAGGTCATAGCTCAATTTTAGGATGTGAACTTGGGGACCAGGCACTTCCAGGTCAAATCCTGGCCTCATCACCCACCCTGGGCCTTGGGCAAGGTCCCTCATCCACAGACAGTTTTGTCCATAACACAGAGATAATAGTGTTAGCTCTCTCAGTGGGGCTTTCAAGAGCCAAACTCATGCCCGTTTAAGATTTATGGGATTTGCAGGGGGTTCCTGTGCCAGATCCTGGGGGCCAGGGCTGCCTTACTGGGCCACAGGATGGCAGCTGTGGCTGATCTGGTGGGACAGTGCTGAGCTCCATGCTGGCCCTGCTATTTGTAAGCATCTTGATTGCACGATGCCTTAATTTCCTCATCTGTTGTAGGTAGGTATGGGGTCAGAGGAAATAGAGGCCCAGAGCAAAGCAGAAGTCCTCAAGGTATAAAGCAGGGAGATGAGGACAAATGCAGGTCATAATGAGAGAGAAAGGAGGCCTGGGGCAGAGAGGGGCTATGAGCATGCTGGGGCCGAGAGACTGGAAATCTTAAGGGAAGAGGAGCGCCAGGCCAGGGATTCTGTGCCTACGCGGCAGGGGTATGAAGGGGCGGCTGGGAGTAAGAAGGGATGGTGGAGACATCACAGGGCAAGGAGAGGGTTAGGAGGAGGGGGGACTGGGCACAGCTCAGGTGGTGTTCATAGAGTGCTTGCCTGACATCCACAAGGGTCCCTGGATTAGTGCCTCAAAGGAAAAAGAGACACAGAAAGAAAGTAGGTATGAAATGGTTAACAGAGAAACAGAAAAATTAGGAGAGATGTTCATGATCCAATGTATCTATAGAACAGATTTCCCAGTTTCCTCGGGAAATGTCTCCCTTGTCATTCACACAGATTAAGTTAGCATTCACCATTTACCAATGTTGCAGTTTGGGGATGGATATAATTTCTTTAATGAACTCAAGCAGCAAAGAGTTGCATTCTCCAGGAAATAATTAGGACAATCATAATAATTTTAAAAAGTCATGCACCAAAATTGACCCAGAATTGGAAAATGATGTGGGATCAGACGGCGCCACCATTGGGATGTGGCTCCCAGCTCATCTGTTTAGCTGTGCATCTGGGAGGCAGCTGGTGGCACAGAAGGTCCCAGGAGCTGGGCAGTGAGGGGCACTGGTGGATGCCTACCCGTGCATGCATGTGGCTTGGGGCCCTTGCTCCTGGGAAGAGCATTGCTGGCTCACACATACATGTGTGCATCCACACCATAACTACACACATATGTACATGCACAAAAATATACACATATGTACAGAAACAGATGTCCAAATTACAGGCAAAAACAGTAATGTGTGTGGTCCCTCTTGTATGCACTCAGACACGTGTGCTTGTCTGTCTGCATCTCCTTGATGCCAGGGTGGTGGGGTTTAGCCAACTGTTGAGGAGTGTGGAGCTAACTCAGAAGCACCCTCTTTCTCTGGTCTCCCACCCCAGACTGCCTGAGATCATGCTTGCAAGAACCTCTCAAGCCCGGAGTGTGAATTATCTACAGTACAGTACCTTCTAGAAACAAGTACATGTTTTCCCCAGACATAGGTACAAGAGACAGAGCCCAGGTAACCATGCCCTGGCAGTGGGTGATTGGTAGGGGCAACAGGAATGGCCCTCATCTCACCCGCGGTGAGTTACACTGTGAGGGATGTTATCCTGCAGTGTGCTGCTCTCTCCTCTCTGCACGTCACACTTTGCTGAAGCTCTGTTTTAAGTGTTCCCAAATGCCCCTACAGCTGAGGCTTGCTCCTAGGGCAGCTGTTGAAGGAATGGGGCCTCTGGAGCCCTGAAGTCATGGAGGGTGCCTTGGCAGGGGGAGTGGAACACTGACACTTGGTACAACATTCACTTAAAAACAAAGCAAGAGAATGGATTTATTTTATGTAAATATCTTAATTAGGTGGAGTGCTTGTATCAAAATGACCACAAAACTACTATACTTAGGCTAGGGATTTAGCTTAATGGTGCCACCAACTGCCTCACAGTACAGGGTCTGGAGTTCGATCCCCAGCACAAAAAATATCGACAACAAACCCCCAAAAACTACTGTACCTTTCTCAGCTCACATCATAATAGGCATAGATACCACAGCCCCACACAACCATCTCTGGTGAGCCTGCTCATGGGCTAGGATGCTCTGCCGGATTCTCCATGATGATGTTGCTGTCTATGGAATTTCAGTCTCCCTCTAGAATGTGCTGGACAGCTCCTGAGGTAGAGGCCTGGCCCTGGGTGCTGCAGAGCTCACAGGGCCTGGAGGGGTTGGATCCAGAGCCTTTGACCCTGAGTGAGTAGTGCCTTGATGGGTTCCCAGCCACAGGGGGTGTGGGAGGCGAGGAGGGGCCTGGCTGGGGAAGTGCTCCCCAGTCTGAAGCTTTCCCTCCCCCAGCCCTTCTTCTTTTTCCACCCCTTCCTCTTCCTCTTCTCCCTCTAATTATAATACCCTGTTTATCACAGCCTAAAAGCAATGGAACCCAGCAAGCACAGACGGAAACCTCTGCAACCTCAAGCTAAAACCAACTTTTCCTCTTTGTGCATTGTCATCTCTAGTATTTGGTCAATCAACAGTTATTAGTAAATATCTTCTGGGGTGATACCTTGAGAATATACAAATCTCCTGTTTCTCTTATTTTTGCCCATTTATATTTAAAATTGGACTTTGTACTTTAAAAATAATAAGATCATCTATGTTTTCAGTTTATTATCAGAAAGATGTGGCCACCAAGACATGTCTGAGAGAATATAATTATAGCAGAGAAGTGCAGCAGCAGGTGTCTTGGTCTGCATGGCATTTGCAAGTGCGTAACAGCCAGGGCTCCCGACCTGCAACGTGGACTTGCGGTGTTAGGGTAGATGAGAGTGCAAATGCGGTGTACACTCAGTAGGGTCCTCCCTCAGTGTCAAAGCTTTGGTCTCTTCCCAGGCCGGCCTGTGCTGTGCAGAACTCTCTTGCAGGACTGAGCAGAAGCAACTGCAGCCCCATTAGCCACAAGATCAGGAGGGAAAGAGCCGGTGTCTATGGTGCTGGGTCTCTGGATGGATGGGGGTCTTCCACACATGTTTGCCTGGAGGTCTCTTCAGCTCCCTGTGGGCTTGCAGGAAGTAACTCCCATAGCCCAAGAACACAAGACTGCAAACCACTCATGGGCATCTCTACTGCCTTCAGGGCATCTGGAGTCTTTAGTGAAAGCAATGCATTAATTTCAATTTTTTCCTAACTCAATTCTAAGTGAAGAAGGAAGTGGTGGAGGCCACTACTCTTCTCAGACCTCCCAGAAGTCACCACACTGCTTACTGGGTGAACAGTCTTGGGTTTAAGTCGTGTTCCCCTGCACAGCATACCCTATGCATCTCTCCCCTAGGCTGTGACCTCTGAACCCCACCATGTGGGCCATGACAGAGGTGAGGTTTAGGAAGAAACTGGGCATCTTCACAAACAACATTGAGTGGAAAATAAAATTAATTGTAACTCTCATTTGGGTCTTGATAGATTGCAGTGTCTCAGACAGCCTCTCCCTCAGTGTTCTGCACTTATCATTATGCCATTGTCCACCCTCCCTTTCTAGGCTGGGAGAAACTGGTACAGGTAACTCAATGGTTACAGTGAATATAATTTGACAAGAGACACCAGTGAGCTCAGGCCTGCAATCCCAGCACTTGGTAGGCTGTGATAGGAGCATTGAGAATTCCAGGCCAGCCTGGGCTAGTTGATGAGATCTTGTCTCAAAATATTTTTTTTTTAAATGGGCTGAGCATGTAGCTCAGTGCTAAGGCAAATGCCTAGGTTATGCATGGGGTGGATTCCTGCTGTCTGGTTTCAACTCCAGAATCACGGAAATCAATCAGTAAATAAATAACCAACCACTGAGATGATAAAGTTTTTCCAATTAAACAATGAGATAAAGTCTGGGTCTAAGCCGTTTGCAGGAAGCCTCCCAAGGACATAGTTATATGAGAGTTAGAAGCACAACGCTAGGAGAAGTCAATCGAGCAATTTGTGACCTAAAGCTGAAAGGGCCAAACATGGTGGGGAAAGTCAACCTATCCTGATGAGGAAGTGGGCCAAACCTCCAGGAAGATTCTCTGCAGCCTGGGAGCTGGGACGCTATGTGCATCAGCCATGGGCCACATGGGCAACCTTGTCACAGAGACTAGCATGGACATGACTTCTGCCCATGCAGTTCACTTTCTTTTTCAATTCTTTCATGGCCTCATAACACAGATGCATTTCTTATGAAAACTCAGTCCAGGCATTTATAGAGAAGAAATCAGATTGAGTTTATCCCAGGTATTGAAATGAATATCTAATATTAGAAAACTCACAAAAAGTAATTCAGCACATTAAATTGTAAGAAAAATATGATCCTTTCAATAAATGAGGAAAAATTGGAACTGTTTAATACCTTTTTGCAGTAAGCACTCATTTTAAAGGAAGAATGAAAGGTAAAATCTTACCTAATGAGTCTCAATAGAGAAACAAAAGAAAACCTGGTGTGGATGTTACCACCTGAAGGGGGTTGAATGAACACACTGCATCACAGGACCTAGACAAGGATGCCATGTGATGAGGCTAGGGTCACAGCAGAGCCTTGGAGCCAGCCGAACCCACCACTGAGACTATGTGGGGCTGACCAGATGGATGGGCCAGCTGCACGACACGACCTGTAGGGTCATTGCAGTGGGGTAGCCTGAGGCTGTGTGTGGCCTAGGATCCTCTGGAGACCACATGGCTGCTAAGCTGACTTAGAAGCAACTCTCCCAGAGCACCTGGGCACAGTCCCCAGGGCACCTGTCGCATGACCAGACCTCTTTCCAGGAAGCCAGGGGAGAGATGACCGGCTTTGTCCTGGTGGAGCAATCAAAGTGCCAACTCTAACTCTGCCAGGCTGGGCCACTGTGTGTGCTGGACTCATTTCACTGTGGGGTGGAGCCCTGCTTTCTGGGAACATGGACATTTCAGGGCTTACTGAAATCTGGTAGGAGCCCATGGGTGCTGGGGTCAGCACCCTTTTCCTCAGCCACATGTGCTCGGAGCTGGGGCTGCTGGTGGCCTAGGTGAAGATGACAAAGGGATCATGGAGCTGGTCAACCACTGCCACTACAGGGCTAAGTTGGCTCTGGTTTCCTTTTGATCTACACTGACAAACATTGCCACATACTGAATACCTGATGTGCAGAGGAGAAGTGGCCTGGGCAGAAGCACGCACAGAGAAGGGCAGCTCTGGGTGTCGGGTGGATGAGCTGACAGCTCCTAGGCCTGCTGTGGTGAGACGGGGAAAGCTGCTCAGGTTAAATGCCAATGAGCAAGGAGAATTTTCAGGATCACTTCTGCTGAAATCATATTTTTGCGGCATTTTCCCCCAAATAATTACAGGCTACCTTGATCATGATGACAGCAATTTGCTGAGGGCCAGACACCCTCAGCCTCAGTGCAGCCCAAGGAACTTGGGGACTCACTGCCAGCTGCCAGGGCGATGGCATCTCTGGGAAGATTTATCACCTTGCATCTCACTGTGGAAACCAGGACAGTCATCAACTCCGAGAGGTCTTCACAGTCTACAGGGCTTGCCAAGATGTTCTCTTGCTCTGAGATCACAGGGGAGGAACATGCCACTGAAATCTCTAAATCCCAGCACATCCCAGGGGATGGCACAGAAAGATGATGCCATGGTCCAGACAGAGGCCTTGAGCATGAGTCACCAGGACACCTGCACTCCACTTGCCAGAAACACCGATATCAGAGAGGACAACAAAATGGAAAATGCTACACCCATGGTGTCATCAGCGACGAGCAGCCTAGTGAACATTATTCATTCAAATATGTACAAGGGGTGATTGAAAAATGTGGCGAATGTTGAAATTAAAATGATTTATTACAGTATCAAAGTGTGGTGGTGCATACCTGTAATCCCAGGACTCGGAAGAATAAGCTAGGAGGATTGCTATGAGTTCCAGGACACCCTGGGCTACATAGTGAGTCAAGTCCAACTTCAACTCCACAGTGAGACCCTGTCTCAAAAAAAAAAAAAAATGATTGATTGCAGTGAAGAGAAATTCCATGAATACTCCTCAAAATCCTCCCCCTCATGTCCAATATACTCATCCCATCATCCTTGCCACTTTCTGAAGCATGTCTGGCAGTCCTCTTTCCTGGCTCCTTCAATGTCCCAAATCAATTCAAAACATTGATCTTTCAAGCTTATTTTGACTTTGGGGAGGAGCCAGTAGCCTCACACAGTGCCAGATCTAGTGACTAAGGTGGCTGAGGACACAGTGTCATGTTTGTCTGAGCCTGCCTTTCTGTTGAATGGCAGTTGGCAGGAGAAGTCATTATGTTTTTATCACAACTCATGAAAACACTCAGGAGAAAAGACTTCCAGAACTGCTTCCAAGAGTGGCAAGAAGGGTAAGTGTGTATGAAGTGAGACGGAAATTTTTTAGGAGATTCACGGTAATGTGTCTTTTACTGTAATATATTTTTAAAATTTAAAAATTCACTTTATGGGCCTGGGATTTAGCTCAGTGGTTCCATCACCTGACTCGCAAGCACAAGGTCCTGAGTTCGATCCCCGGTACAAGAAAAAATTTAAATTAAAAAAAATCACTGTATACAGTGGCATCTCAGTTCGTGAACTTAAGTCATTACACAATTGTGGAAAAGATGGCTATGTTCATGTTCATATAGGAAAGATGACTGTGGATGTGTTCATCATCCAGTGCAGAGTTTGCAAACAAAAACAAAAGTTTGTCAAACACTTCTGTTTGTGAACCAACTTTCTTCATAAACCCAGGTATTGCTATATTTTGATCATACCATATTAGTTAAATTAGCTGAATCTTAATTGAATCTTAACCGTTAAGCTGTCTTAGTCACTCTCTTGCTGCTGAGATATATCCAGTACATTCTGGTGCCTGTTTCAGTGCAGGGTGGCTGTCTCTAACACTGGAAGGCATAGAAGAAGGGCCAGAGGAGGAAAAGCTGCCCACATCATGGCGGCTAGGAAGCAGAGAGAGAAGGTAGGGGTGGCGAGGGACATGCACCCTTTCAGGTCACCTCCAAAGGACCACCTATCTGCCTCTTCTGACTATCCACCTCCTGACAGCATGTTTAGCTCTGAATTCACCACTGGACTCACCCATTATCATACAGAAACCTACAATCCAGGCACCTCCTGAAGCCCCTGCCTGTGACCACACAAGGCTCTCAGACATCTAGATATAAAACATATATAAGATTAGCTACTCTGTCATAAAAATGAAAATACCCTAAATTGAGCAGCTCATATATAAAGATCATCATAGACATTACCAATTATGGGTTGTAAAGCTGAAAGAAATGTCAAAAAATAACCATTTTTTAGGAGGTGGCCGTGGTGGTCTCCTCTCAGTGCAGGAGTGTTAGGAAGAGGGTCTCACTGGTGGCTTGGGGTTCTCAAGGCCTGTATGGTATGGTAGCCTGTGTAGCATGAATGGTAGCCTACTCACCCTGGTCCAGCCACTGCTTAGGGAATCTTGGTCCCT